ACCTCCTATACGTCCTTCTATAAGACAAAGTGATCATACTGAAAAAAAAAAATAAAATGCCCTCTGCAATGTTTAAAAGAATGATTTATTAGCAAGTCCTCTACAATCTGGTTTCAGCACAGAGGATGCATTGCTTAGAGAGGCAGAAGAATCAGAAACGTGACAGTTCCCCAAACTGGGCAGGTTGTTGCCTCCCTGTGGGTGCTGTGTCCACGGGGAGCTCTGGGCTCCACATCCGCTCCACAGGACTGGGGCTAGAACAAGAGCTCCTGCTTGAGGGAGGGAGGTTTTCCTAAGGAATTTGTAACATGCGTATCGTACGTTCGTTTATAAAATACAGCAGGGACTAGAGGAGCAGATAAGGCCATCAGCACCGTGCTGAAGCCAGGGGAACACGCGGGATCTAAGCTGCAGTTACTGGAAGGTGACGCAGGGGAGTTACCAAGCGAGGATGCCAGGAGGTGAGTTTTCCCTTAGGTCTAAAAGAATAACCTGTATAAAGTTTTATTTCCAGAGTTCTCCCAAAGGTTTATTCTGAACCTCCTGCATGATTTCCTCTGCAACGGACTTGATTTCTCTGTGCAAGTCTTCTATGCTCTTTGAAGCATCCATTGTCTGTTTCCAAGACAAAAAAAATACAGAAACACATTCCTCAATTACCGACACCAAATGAGAAAAGCTTGCCTTGCTGTTCTACCTGCTTCCCCCATTACTCAATACTGTTACTATTCACGAGCAGTGAAAGGAGCGAATTACGCCTCCTGTGCACAATTTCTGAGGTGGAATTGGAAAAATCTATTTTATCTAGGAACAGACGTTTAAGAAGTAGATGTGGGGCTGGATGAAGGGCGACAGAAGAAACTGCTGCTGCTGGGTGTCGTTTGCCGACAGTCTGCGTGGCCTAAAGGCAGGTAAACGTATTTCATCCTGTACTGAGTCCCACAGGAGCATCACTGTATTGATCCTTCAGTGATTCTTCAAAATAAACTCCACCCATGAGAGTAGGAACATCTAAAAATCCATCACGTGATGTTCCAGTTTCAGCTTTGTTGCGTTTTGTGGGTTGTTTTTTTTTTTTTTTTAAAAGCTGAGGTCTGTAAAGGTGGTAGATGCTGGTGTTCCTCAGCCTGACGTTTAAAGAACAGCAGCATTGCTCCCGTGCGGTTGAGGGAGCGACCGAGGCAAAGAAAGGATTTGGTGAAAAGATGCAGAGGTGCAGATTTATCACGGTGATCTACGCAACCCCGGCCCTCGCTGCTAAGAAAGAGCAGGCTGGGACAACAGGCAGTAAGTAATAGACTTCACGATTAAACGGTCACCTTCTCATTACAGCACAGCCAGCGCCACACCTTTGTGCTCACACGATACCCTCGGCAGCTTGCCGATCTCAACTTCTCCGTGTAACCGGTGGTACTGAGCCGCGTTTCCGTGCTCGTTTCAGGGATACCTGTCACCTCTTCGTCACCTGCTCTGGTGGATCAGAGCTGCTCCACAGTTGTGCACTCTGGCGTACGTTAAACAGGCATGTTGCTGATAATTTAAGTGAAAACTCCTTTCAAGCAAGGGGTAGAAGACAAATAACAGAAGACAGGTAATAAAAGAAACGCGTTCCGCTGCCGGAATCTCTGGGAAAAAAAATCAGGGTTTACAGACTATATACTAATTCCATACTCTCTTGAGAGAGAGCATACTTATTTTTGTTAAATGAATTCTTTTGGGGCTTTGTGCTATGGTACATGTTTTCTGTCAGCCTATTTTTTCCAGTCATGATGTAGGAAAGGCCATTTTTCCTTCCTAACTTTTACTGGAATAAAAGGCCTAGTTTGGTGATTGTTGTACATTAAGGTCCTTTAGGTTCTGACAGTACACAAAAGAACTTTTACAGAATCACGTTTACCTGAAACAGGCTGTGAAGAATTATGTTTATCTCAGTCTGATAGCTGTGGACATCTCCAGCTTCTGGTGGAGACCTATCCATAATCTGTGTCCTCCTATGTCTGCGTGAAAGCTACAGAATAAACGGAAGCTGCTGCCTGTATCTCACGACTGAGCACTGACAGGGTGATGGAGACGATCAACAGGATGTCTGCGCTAGAAAACCTCAGCCTAGGCGATCTACGCACAGGATGAATGGGGATTATCCCACAGGATAAACGGGGAACGCTTCCTCTTCGGGGATGAGGCTGCTGACTGGGCAGCCCTCTGCAACCAGCTCCAAGGGATGAACAAGGAGGAAAAGTGATGCAGCAGCGTGGAACAAAAAAGATCGCGTATTTGGAGAGACTTCTGGTGGCATTAAGACAGCAAATGCCAATGGAAACTGGCCGTGTGAGAACAAGGTGATTATCAGTAAGGGAGACGTAAGCTGCAGGAGGGCCCCAAAAAACCTCCAAGGATTCCAGTGTCCTCGGCAGATGCTGCAGGACGCCAAGGGAAGAGCAGGGGCGCGTCCCACTGCTGCTGACCCAGGCCTGTCAGTTTGTCTTTAAGGAAGACAATGATTGCCAGAACGCAAAACCAACCAACCGTCTTTCCCCCCGCCCCAGTGGGGCCTCGCAGGGTGTCCCGGACCGGGAGGTGTCCCCTGTGCCACAGGGCCCTTAGCTGGTCCCCAGCGCGTCCCCCTGACCAGGAGCAGGAAGGGGGAGCACGGGGCTGCGACGGGCACAATCCAGGAGCTCTCATGAGAGACCCCCGCCCTGACGGGCCCCTTGGGGTTATTTCCTCACCTTCCAGTTCAACGTCTTGTCCTTCATCAGATGATAGAAGGACTGTAGAACTCTCTCTTGGAAGGAGCTGGTCTCATAACGTTCATTTCCAAAGTTCCCTCGTTCCGCTGCTTCCTCCGGGCTTAACTGAAGGAACAGAATCAGATCTGGCTTTGGGAGTCCGATGTCAGGCTGTTTGCACCAGTCCAGGCAGAAGTTCTGTCCCAAAGAAAGACAAAAAGAGTTTGAGGTGAAAGAAAGGAATGTGACGAAGGGAAAGAAGCCACTTAGCTGGAGAGGGGGAAGAAACAGCCACAGAACAGATGCAGTCCAAAACACTAAGCACAGACCTACAAGCTGGAAAGGAGATATCCCAGCTTATCGCGTGGGAATTCAGCCCTGGTCATTGTGGGGGGTGGATTTAGCTAGGTGCTGTGCACCTCTCACGCTCACTGAAGTCAGAGACAGCTAAAGATTTTAACGTCTCTTCTGCAAAGCCCATCAGAGCTAAACAGCGAGTCACATTCTGAGTCTCCAGTGCTCAGTCCAAAAGAAAGCGGCTCCCAAATACAACCCCCACGCAGGTTTAGCGTGGATCGTTCTGGGCACCATGGAGAGTCCTACCCTACGCTTTCTCAGCCTACCTGGGAATTTCAGCCCAGACACAAGAGACAAAGCTTTCCAACTTTCGGATCTTGCTGACAGATTTGAAGACTTCCATCAGGGCACGTGAATCCACAATGTTGTGAAGAGACCACTGAGGCTCACCCACCGACCACTCATCCACCAGCGATACTATCAGGGTGAGCTTAAATGTCTCAAGGGCGACCGCGGGGCTCTGGAGATGAGGGTGCAGGGCACGGGGCGGGGGCACGATCTCCTCAATCCTCCCAGGAAATCGGGGAAGGCTTCGGCAGGAACCCAGAGAGGGACTCATGGAAGATCTCCACCAGGTTTCTGGAGCACACTGAAGACATTCTTGACACGGTGATCGATAAGCCAGCGAGGGGAGGTGCACTGCTGCGTTCGTTACTCCCAGGGAAGAAAGAACCGGTGGAAGATGCGAAGGTCAAGGGCAGTCTTGGCTGCAGCAAACACGAGATGGTGGTTTAAAATCCGGAGAGGAGTCAAGCAAGACAAACAGAATTGCTGGCGTGGTCTTCAGGAGAGCAGTCTTCTGTTAGGGACCTCTTAGCAGGATGTCCTGGGAAAGTCACAGAGAAGGCAGAGAGGCCCGGGAGAGCTGGCTGATCTTCCAGGACAACCTCCTCGGAACACGGGAACGAGCACAAGACTCAGGAGGATCTTACCGCGGAATGACCCAAAGGGCGGCTGACAGAGCTGACTTGTCTTCAAAGCAGAGAAAGGCACAAGTGGGAACATGAAATATTCAGGCTAAACGAAGCAAATAATTTGTACCATGAGGGTGAGCAAACACTGAAAGAAGAGCACAGAAAGGCTGTGGATGTGCATCCCTGGAGATACTCAGACCTTGGCTGGATGTGGCCCCAAGCAGCTTGCTTGACGTTAAACAAGGAGGTTGGGCTTCGTGACTTCCACAGGTCCCTTCCAGCCTAAGTGGCTCTGTTCTTCTTGGCAAATTTATGGGTCAGCAGCCAGAGCAAACGTGGAGAATCTCAAATAAACTCGCATAATCATTCTCCAGAGTCAAACAAGCCGGCTTCCCCGCAGCCTGGAGTCTGTCCAGATTTACAAAGAGTTAACAAATGCCTTTCTCTGCTCTTTCTGGGGAGGGGGTAGACCCGGGCAAACCGACCACGTCAATACCTGAGCCGAAACTTCCACCCCTCCATTTTGATCCTCATTTCCCAGAGGAAGAGCCTGGGCCACTTCTTCTTGTGAATGTAATGGTTCATCCCACCAAACCATACCTGACGTCTTCCAAGTTGCTTCAGAAATACGTCAGTATCAAAACATCTGAGTGCAACGCGTTCAGAATTTTGCTGTCAAAGCTGGTGCTACAAGATCTACTGTTAACAACACCGGACGCGTATTTTGGCTGATACTCTTTGTTCCTATAACCGTTAAGGTAATCCTGCTCCTTTCACAGGCCACGAATCCAAAATAATTAGGTAATGCTTTGATGTGAAAGTTTGTTGCTTTCCTCGCGTTTAGTTAGCGCACTGCTACTAAGCTGTTTAAACATTTGTTTGTTTAAAGTCTATTGGAGTTATAAGAAAACAAAAGCTAGCATTTCTTCCCTGACCCCTTGGATAAAACAAATAAAGGATCCACATTTTTAGTCTGAAGCACAGTAGGAGAACTTTCATTGATGAATTCTGTGGTTTAGGATTGTTACGTCTGTACCGGGCTTTTAACTGGAGCTGCTTCCCCAAACCCAGAGGGGCAGGGGCTGCTCCGGCTCCCACTCACCTCCTTGGCACTCGTGAAGGCCACTCCAGAAAAGGCGTATCTGTCAACCACAAGCGTGATCCCTTGATGCAGTTTCTCTTTCATCAACGGTCTGAAAGCCACATGGGAGGGGAAAAAAAAAAAAAAGTAAGTTACGCTCCTTTATAGCGATACAAATGAAAGATCATCTAAAAGAGCTCACGAGGCCAGCGCTTCTCTGGAGGGTTATCTGTGACCCTGGTCGCGGTTAAATAGCTATTTGCGTTCCGTCCTCTAACGGACACGGAGCGAATACCCTTTGAAGACACCCAAGTTCAGGGTGCCGCAGTGCCGGGCGCTGCTCTTGGCAGCGGGGGCTCACACACAAACTGCGTTCGGACACGAACGGCTCAGTCCTCTTCCCTTCCTACGTGGTGAAGCAGATTTGTGACACGCTCTGTCTCGGTCAGAGAAAAACGTCCTTTATTCACGACAATGAATTATTACAGCTCACCTTACACTTTCCCAGTTTGCTTGGCACCGCCACTACAGCAGAATCAGCAAAGGTTTGGGGTTTTTTTAAATGTAAACATTTTGCAATATAGAATTCCAGGTGAAAACAACAGCCGACACCGATTTCCCCAGCTCCACGCGCGAAGACTCAGGGGCCAAAAGCAAGGACGGCCGCTGCAGCCTTCAGCTAGGGGGGGAAGTTTGGGCAGGATTCCAAACCACCCTGTCGCTCATGGGGACAATTCCTTGGCAAAGCAAGGTCTCTTCGTTAAGGAAAGAAAATACATTTGCAATCTAGGCTGGTACGCTCTCAGCACCCCAATTCTTGAATCCAGCGCGGCACAGGGACTGGAAACATCGCACCTGCTGATTTCAAAAAACAAACCATGGGATTTGATCTAGGACGATTAAACCCGAAGGTGTAAGAGTCCTGGAGACGTTGCTTCCAGCCGCGTTTCCCTCGCTAAACAGGATCCCGCCCTTGCTCCTGCTGTACCCGCTGCGAGCTAAAACCCCGGGGAGGATTCAACGCCGCGCGTTTTTCTGTTACGGCTTCGCAAACGTGATCTTTACACGTGTTCCCAGCGGTTGGCGGAGAAGAGCAGGTGAACGGTGTGGTCCTCCAGGTTCTTCTCCTTCCCCAGGTAGGAGCTGATCAGCCGCCCGATCTCCGTCGTTCTCTCTGTGGGAAGGAGGGGGAGAAGGAACGAGCGCTGCCCGGAGCCGCTCTGGCCAAAGGGGTGTCTGTCCGTCCGTCCGTCTGTCCGTCCCGGGGAACGTCGGTCTGTCCGGGGACTGTCACGGGTGGGGGGGGTCGGTCTGTCAGG